GTCCAGTAAGAAGATCATTACAGTGATCAACTCTGCTGTATCAAATGCATGAACAGGTTTCTCTGCGTCGCTCTGAGATAGAAAAGGCCGAACTTTAGTAACGTTTCTCTAATGATGAAAAGCTACTTTAGTGACTGTGTTTACATGAGGAATAAAACAGAGCTCAGAGTCTAAGATCACACCCAGGTTTCCTACTTCAGGTTTGGTTTATGAAGCTAAAGAACCAAGTTTCTCACAAAGCAGCTTTCTCTGCGTTTTTGTACCAACGATCAGGATTTCAGTTTTTTTTGTGATTTAATTGTAGAAAATGTTGCAACATCCACTGAGAAATGAATCTGACACACAGCTGGTTAGTCTGTCTACAGAGTCTTGATTAACAGAAGGAATAGAAATTTATAACCGGGTGTCATCAGCATAGCTCTGAAAATGTATGTTTCGTAATATCACCTACAGACAGCATGTACAAAGAGAAAAGCAAAGGCCCTAAAACGGAACCTTGAGGAACTCCAAAAGAAACACCAAATCTTTTTGTTGAATGATTTCCCATTGAAACCATGAACTGCCTGTTACCTAAGTATGATGTAAACCATTCTAAAACTGTGCCTGAGAGGCCGAACCAGTAAATAGTAAAAACGTAAGCCAACAATATGTAGACAAACCTGTGTCAGCATCACTTATTGGCAAATCATGCTAAATGTCAAGTCATGTCTTCATTTCTACAAAGCTGAATTTCACTTTTTATTTGTTTGAATTTTCCATTCCACTTTCAATGGAACAGCACTTTCATTCTGGCTCCTCTACAGGTGCATGAATGTAACTGCAGCACCATATAAAGTGGAACAAGAAATTTAAATAAGAAGCTTCAGCTTTGTTGGATTTCTCAAGTCATTTGTCTCATATGTATGTCTTATATACTCGCGCATTCGACTGCCAGACACTGCTGGAAAATATTACAGTCATTCACGCATTCAGCACCAGCTGGTCTATGGCTGGCTGCGCAGGCAAGGCCGGAAGACCACAGCGCCATCTGATGCAGCTGACCGAGTCAGGCGGCTCCTCTGCCAGGCCTCTGCGGTCTGGTGTCCATGTCAGGCTAAGGCTGCTGCCCCGAAAACAAAGTGGACTACCTCAGATGAAACAGAGCGGGAGGCGATTGAGGGTTACCATTTTCATTTAAACGTGATTGAAACATCCCTGATTCAGCCACTCAGCTAAAGGGGATAACATTTACTGTAGTTTGTACAGCATGTTATTTGTGCTTATTTGTGGCACACCGATTATAATGGTTCTGAAGAATTTTAAGAGGTTTACTGCCCACTGCTAGTTCAAAGACTTCAATATTTTTATTGTCCAGTTTTCATCCATATAAAAGACCACAGCTCAGACAATTCTGGGGCCAGATTCACAAAAGTGTCTTCAGAAAGAAAATCTTCTTAAATGTGTGTTTTTTTCTTAACTTCATTCTTGTTATTATTCAAATATCTTCTTAAAAATTCTCTTCTTTTCTTTTCTTAACTTTTCCCTCAAAAATAATTCTGAGAACAAGTGGTATTTTGGCAATATTATGTTGTTAAATATTTTTCTTACTTACGACAGTCTCACACTCATCTTAGGCTGTAAGAGGTGACAAGGTGGTCGTCTAAATATTTCATGGACGCTGCCTCTGCTGCTCCCCATCCTCGTCCGTCACCTCACAATTATCATATTTTCTAAGATATTTTCTGTTGGTTGTTTATTTTTTAAAAGCTTGGTTTGATGTTTTTCCTCCATTTTGCTCCTCTGAGTGGATTAACCTAATAATAGAAATAACCATTTTAAACTGTAGCTCGCGTCATTTATGGTACAGGGTACAATGCAACCTACATAAGAAAACAATAAAGATTAAGAATATTAAGAATATTTGATACTTCATTTTTATTTTCGAGATTTGCATTTAAGATATTCTAAGAACTTCAGTGTTTTTATAAGAACGTCTGCAAGTGTTTATTTAAGAAAGCTTTTGTGAATCCAGCCCCTGATCTTTGTTTGTAGAGACGATGAATGGTCAAGTTAGCGGTCAGTCCTGTTGCCCAGTTAGTTTCCTTCATATTGAACTGTATGACAAAGTGCAATCTATATAAATGGAAAAAGTACAGACTAAATTCAGGCTTCGAAGCAGCTTCTGCTACTGTTTTTAGCTAAGTGATGTACTTTTGTTCATGCTTATAAACAGTTTGTACAATGCTTATTGATGTAGTATAAGCTTCTATTACTCTTAAGCTACATAACAATCACAATAATCAGAAATATTTTCTTGCATTATGAAATAAACTCAGCTCTATCTATATATTTAGATAGCATTAGATAGGCATTCCTCTCATGAAGTCCCCCCCCACCCCCCCCTCTCTCTCTCTCTCTCTCTCCTTCCTCTGATGGAGTATAAATGTAAACTGACAGTCCGGATCACGCTGTGCCCTGTCACCGGGGTTGTTGCCAAGCAGCTGGGACCAATGGGATGGCA